CTGCTACTGCTACTGCTACTGCTACTGCTACTGCTACTGCTACTGCTGCTACTGCTACTGCTACTGAACCTACTACTACTATTGCACCTGTACAGCTGCTGTTTCTACTCCTGCATCCCCACCCTTTGCTACTACTACTGCACCTGCTTCTACTACATTAAATGCTCCTGCTACTCTTGCTATTGTTGCACCAATTTAGCTCAAGATTTTGTTTATTTTACCTGGTTTAGGTGCACAGGGGCAAATACGATTTTGATGTGTTTTTTCACAAGAAAACAGCTTTTCTTCAATCATCTTAAACCGCATGCAGACTACTTGTGAATCGTCTGAATATTGAAGTAAAGCAGACACCCTAAAAATGAGATAGAATGCCGTAAGTAACTTTATATCTTTTATGGCTGGCAAGAGGAACAAGAGAAGTTGCTTTGCAACTATCCGTCAATCCGTCACTATTTTCAAAGTTCAGACAAACGCATCCCTTCAGACTCTCGTTACAATGCATAGTAATGTMTAATTTGCATTTATAGTTCAAATATCTAATTATTGTCAAAATGATACACTCTTAAATCATGGAGCATGCATAAAGAAACTGATAAAGAATAAGACACTGTCCAGACAGTCTACCCACTCTGCACGTTCATCTTTGGTGGAAGTACAGGTGATTCCTAGCGCTTCAAAAACACCTTTAGCATCAGTGGGAGGGAAATCATGACCATATTTAGCACAGATCCTTCCTTCTTGATTGCATTTGTCATGACAGGTTGTGCCTTTTGGACCGATGAAGTACGCAACACCTGAAAACACAGGTAGTATTTAGACTTTTAAGGTCAAATTAATTCAAAAAATTACAAAAATTGAAATCTTACAATTGCATTGTGCAAGACACGGAAATTAGTTTCCTTATATTTCTCTATGATTCTTTAGCGATTAAAACAATAGATTTCTATGACGTAAGATATTTCTATGACATCACAATGATGACATGTGACGCCATACAGAGAGTTTTGCACTGAACGAGTCCTGGATACGCCCCTGAGGCAGAGCACACATTGTTACCTATAGGTTGGAAAGGACAATGCTATACAATCGAATCACTCAGCTATTCACCTGTGCAAGAGACGTTTTGCTGGCATGTAGTAGCTTCACTTGAAGTCGTAGGCACATCCATCTTTCCTACGAGATTCAGGGTATCATTGGAGCAAAGACGCTGACGAACTTTTGTACCGTTACCACAGCTTTCACTACACGACGACCAGGCGCCCCATTCTCCAAGAAGGGATCTGCTCTTATTGCTGCTGGATTCTTTGAAACAAAGACTACATTATAGTATTTATTTATTATACAGAACTAGATATGAGGGTAAGTAGTTGTGATTGGTCATTGCACCACGTTTAATTATATTCCCGCTACTCTGATTAACGATCCTGTTTGGTTGAATTATCCCAGTAAGTCTGTTTCCAATAAAAAAGATTGATTACTCTATCAATTTTAACTCATAGTACATGTTGTTTTAATTATCGGCATGGTCAGGCTGTAGCATAGGTGCAAACATGCCATAAGTGTTACTCTAACAATCGCTTAAAATATGCCCGAGTGTGTGTACTAAAAGTAGACTTAGTATAATGGGTGCATTATTGATATAGTAAGAAAAAAAAGTTGCCATTTTTCAGATTATTTGGCAAAGACCTACTCAAAGGAGCAGGAAAGAGTAATTTGAAATAATAAAAGTTTTATTTTCAGTTAATAAGCGAGATTGTTGTAAAATAGAACAACGTAGCTAGTTTTGTAGCTTAAAATAGTTGACTTTAGTCATACACTGATACCTCACCTGTGAATCTTATAGTATGATTTTTCATCTCTTTCCATGGTGACGCCGAATTAAGCGAATGGTTGACACATCGAAATGTCATACTATGTTCTTTCAGCGATAACTTACGAATGAATGTTAACAAGTAAAGACGTCCAGAAACCAAGGGCACAGAAGACCAGGTCGTGGTAAGCCTCAAAAAATATAAATAAATACATACTTGTAAATGAACTTCAATTCTTACAAGATATATGATATCCAACCTAAGTTAAGTACACTGTTGCATGCTTGCATCTAATCAGGGCAACTGGTGAAAACTGTAAGATTGATTATTGCTTTATACTGAAGCTCTTGACTGAACGACGATAGATCGAATTGATGGACAACGCATTTTGGTCTATCTTGAGCAGTTCAACTTTTTCTGAAATATCTGTATATAAATTATGCGGTTTATATCTTTTTGCTAATCTACGTATCAAACCTTGCGTTGATTTAATCATTTCTGTTGTCAAAGCTCTGAGGTTTTATTAACTATTGGGCACTTTGGCAACTGCTTTGCAATTCAACTTAAATGATATGAATAAAGCCACGGCTATATAGTAACAGAGAATCAAAGCCAATCAGACCAAAAAAAATACATTCGCAATGCCCTTACAGATCGTGGTCGTTCTGTGTTTTATCAATTGTACCAACATTCTGTCCATCAATATCTGAATAGTAAGAGAGTTCGAACCGATCATTTGGCTCTTTTGAAGCAATTTCTGTGATGTTGAATTTGTATAAATCAGTAACTACAGGGAGGAAATAGCCTTTATAATGATATTCGTGCACGCTGATTTTATACTCCTTTAATCCTTGAATATCTGAAAAGAAAAAAAAAAGTGAAATACTTTTAGAGAAAACTATTCTAACTGTTGCAAGAATTTTGAACTTCATCATCTTGGAACTCAATGTCATAAACATTATTCTAATGTCCGTCCCCTGATTTTCTGTTAGTTTTCCCTGTCAATATCAACGTAATTTCATTGCCGTCACCATTTAAGTCCCTATCTCCGTCGTTATCTCCACGCAACCTCCTCCCTTTTCGCCGCCAGMATTATTTTCACCCCGCCATCCTTCTCTTTCTCAGTTTCGGCACTAGTCTCCTTCATAGTCGCCGCCATCTCCGCCAACCCCGTAGATGCCAACCCCATTTCTATCTGAATCTAAAATGATTAACTCACCCTCTGGGATGCATTTAAGAAGGGTTTCGTTTATGAACACATCTGGAGGTGTAGCGTCCGTCTTTTCAGTAAAACTTGTCAAAATAAGGACTAGCACTATCTGCAAAACAATCGATGTTTTTTTTGAAATAATGTTTTTGTGTGTTTTTAATATTGATTTTAACATTGTTTGCCATACATATATGGGTTTTATTCTATCATTTTATCTTTCTTATAGTCTACAATAAATTATTCTTTATTAATTTTAGTTGTTATACTGGTTTTCGGACTACAAAAAACAAAAACTAATTTGCGGAAAATAGTTCTGGGCTGCCACAAAGTCAAATGACAAATCCAGTAATTCACCGAGAGCGCGTTAACTTGCTCAAATGGCATTATTCGATGATACGTTTCTGTCCGAACCTTTTTTACCAAAAAGTTGATTGAATACTTCATTTTCGAATTCAAAGCGGATAACCGCTGTTTTATTTGACAGCAGATCCTCTTAAAAACCTTATTAAATACAAAATAAAGCGTGAAAAAATGTCGTTGTTAAATAGCCTTGGAAATTTACATTTTCTCTACAGTGTAGCCCTAAGTTCAAGCCTTCTAGGAAAAAAGAGTTAGCCTTATCCAACTCGCGGAAAACACAAATTGTCAGGGCTTTCCTATTGTAATATTTTCTCGTGACTTCTTTTGTGTTTGGTGATATCTTTATCAAATAATACAGCAGCTTTATATCCTCTTTGGATTCGAAAATACGTAATTTAACATAAGGTTCAGTGTCTGTTTCAAGTGTTAGACGGGCATGACACTGAGACTTCATTTTCTATGAGTCATGTGCATCATTCTTACCAACTATTTTCTTGGCTTATAAAATATTAAAAGGTTAAAGTACTTTCGGAAAGAACAACAAAATGAAAAAATCTTTTTAAGCAATCGTGAATAGTTGACATGCAGAAATAGTTTATTAGGTACTGAAAGGTTTGACATGCGAACCACAAAGAGTAGAACTGAGAACAGAAGATATACATTGATGCAAAGGCACTCAAGAAAGTAAAATAATAAATAAGTAAAATTTGTAGCTTGACACACAACTTTTAAAATTGTGTAACCTGAACTCAGCTTTTCGTTTGACTCCAGTGGTATCGAGTGACTGCTATAGTTTCGCTGCCTGCCTTGATAAAACAGACCCGTTACACAATATAAAAAACAGATACAGAAATGAATAAAAAGCCGAAAAGGAAAAAGAACGAGAATTAAAATAACACCAGAAAAATAGCTCAATTGGAGACAAAAATTGAAAAAGGCAGAGAAAAAAAAGAATGAAATAAACAAGGAAATACAAATTAAAGCGATATTATAACTAAGAGAGAAAAAAAAATCATCATTGAAATACATTAAAAAGAAATAAAAAAACTACACTTTAAGAAATGAGAAAATGATGCAATGGAAAGTTCAAATATATATGTACACAAAATTAAAATCAATATCGAAAGAACATGAAAATATTCAGTTTGAGTCTTACCTTTACGCCGAACATAACCGTAGTTTTCATGCTGCCTCGTCTCATTATATTGATTTGATCACAAGATTCTTTCAGATAAACTTTGTTGTTAACTTCACATCAGATGCAGTGTTGTTTATTTAAAATCAAACAAAACCTAAAGAATTGATTGGGAATTGACGACTGGATAACTACTGTCGCTCACGGTGCATTCAAAAATCGCTTTTGTCTAACAAAGAAAAGACTAGTTAGCACCCTATTAGACCATTGTTAAGCGTGGAATGCGAGAGAGTTCTCTTAATTACGAGTTGCGAGGAAACAGTAGCGGACACTTTGTAGTGCATAGAGTCGTGACCACTTTACGTACAATGATCAAAAGAAACTTTAATTGATTTGTTTCTTTTCTTTCTGTTCAGCAAAATGAAATATTAACGAGACGAAAAATAAACAATTTGCAATGACATACTCCTCAAAATTTCAGACTTTTTCAAATCCACTTACAAAAAAATAATTAACTAACCCTACCCCAGACAATGAGACTATACCCTATCCTAGACAAAAAACTACCCTATCCCAGACAAAACTACTACCCTATCCCAGACAAAAAGACTACCCTATCCCAGACAAAACTGCTACCCTATCCCAGACAAAACTACTACCCTATCCCAGACAAAGACTACCCTATCCCAGACAAATGGGCAAAAAATGATGCCCTATCCCAGACTTGGAGCTCCGAAAAAGGGACCCTATCGTGAGGCACATACCCGTATAGCAAATATAGGGGAGTAGACATAAACGGCCGGAGCAAACATTTTCTTTAGGGAGGGAGTACACACCACAAAAATGACCATAGACCACAGAGCTTATCGTCAATGATAAAATCTAACCATCAGTTGGATTTGTCAATGCACAGTCGTCGTAAGCAGCAAATAGCCGAACGTTTTTTCAGCAATACTGTGAAAGATCAGAATCTTTAACTCCATAATTGCTGCCCTCGGGAATAGTTGTTCCGAAGCCACTAAGGCACATTCACAAATTCCAGATCCTAACTCTCAAGACGATCTGTCAGTTTTATTAGTTTTCATGCCTTTTTAAACTTATTTAGACATGTCCTTCTTTTAAATTAATAGTCATATATAGTTTTTATATATTGCATATATTTGTAATTACATTTAGTCAACTTTTGGGCTAAGATTTTGATTTTGCAATTTGAATTGCCGTAATTAATATCTGCACTTTAGTTCAAAGGTATCGGCTCTCTACAAATTACTGCACAAGTATGGCTATAGCCTGGTTTGAGATGTTCAAAATACTGAAAAAGATCTTAAAAGATATATATCAAATCTGCGAGTTCAACGAAAACATGGATGTAAACTGAATTACGTATCTTCATAACCACTGTTACTATCTATGTAGTAGTAGTATGTGGGCAGTACAAGTTTTAATTCATTCAATTCAGTTACAACGTTACTTGATTTACGGGAGTAACCTTCACCCGGAATGGCATTCTCGACGCCCATGAGCTTATGTATGCTAGCAAGTGCTGAAGGTTCTTTTTTAAAGCTGTTTTAAAGCGATTATTTCGGAAGGCGTGAATAAAAGGATTTAAAAATGAATTTAAAGTTAGTGACATTGATGTGATAACAAGGCTAACGGTGGTCAAGTATTCTTGAGAGAACAGCGCTATTCCCCCAGTAATCAACAAGGGAAACAAAAAGAAGAACACGTTGCTAAAGACTAAGGCTCCAATACGCTTAGCAATTCTAGATTCTCGTCTAACGCCGGCATTTTGTTCAGCGCATTTAACTATGATATAAATGTGGATATAAAGTAGAAATGATGCCAAGTAAGCCAAGATACCTATTGTACCTACTACTACAGTAAATGTCCTTATTGAAAGCAAATTTGAACTTATAGGCATGCAAAGAAACGAATGGGCGTAAAAGTTGTACTTTAGCGCGAAACAGGTCAGACAGATAGAAAAACCCCAGCCAAATAGCAAAAGAACACAGGCAACTGAGCAAGTGATTCTAACGTGGGGTCGGAGTGCAAATACGATAGTTAGATGTCTTTCTAGAGTTAAGTAGAATGCTGTGACTACAGAGTTTGCTTGGGCAAACATCCAAGTCACACCAATTTTCCAGCAATTCTTACGGCTATTCATTGACAAATAATTATATGAATAACTGCTTAGGTAGGCAGATATGCTGATAGTGTAGATGCCAAGAAGAAAATCGCTCAAGGCCATGTTACACACCAAAACCATGCATGGATTACCACGAAGGGATTTCGAACTCAAGACGTTCAGAAATACGATCAGGTTTGATATGAATGCAATCAGACCAAGGCAACCTTGAGCCTTCAATAATAGCAGGCTTTCTTTCCAACAAAAGTTCTCTTTGTAGATTATGGTATTCCTTGCAATGAATACTTTGGAAGTCACACATTTTAAGCGGTTTTGGCAGGTAAATGAAAACATCGTGTTTTTTAAAACACCTGGTATTCCTGGTAGACGATCTAAGCTATAAGTGTATCGAGTACATCCTCTTGTTCTATTTACTATTTTGGAGATTTTGTCTCTGAAGTTGTTCTGATGAGGTATATAGAAAGAGCAGTTAGTGCAGTCTTTAGAGTGAGTTAGTCCTACCACATATGACAGCGTGGCGAGTCGTAGAAGCTGTCTCTCTGGTCTCCAATTTACAACACCGCTGACATCTAGAAGAGAAAGTGAGCCAAAGACACCTTTGATGTCACCAGTAAGCGAGTGAAGTGGATTCATTGACAAATTTCTGCAATTATTATAATAAAAGTAGTTACATATCAACTGGAAATACAGTTGACGTCAAATTTAACTGTTTACTTATTACGTATTTTAAAATAATAATAATAATAATAATAAAAGCCTTTTACGTCACTGCTTGATTTTCAGTGCATAGTTTCTAGAGAAAACAAAAGAAATCCGCCAATGCATTGCATAAATGGTAGCTGACGTAAAAGAGGTCTGTTGAAGGTGGACAAGATCGCACGGTTGTTACCCTCGGCTATACTGATAGAAAAATGCTGTCAACCATAATGCCTTTCGCCCCACCAAGAAGAATTATTTCCTCTTTCAGTACTTATTGTGGACATAGGTGATTCAATTGCCCTATTTCATTATTACGTCACAGTATGTTTACATCGGAAAACGATGCTCAAAAACAGTGGAAATTTGGACCCATTTATATTGTCTACTAAAGTAGAACTTCAATGAATCGTGTTTTGATATATTATGTCATGTATAAATGATTGTTCATGTACATTTTATTTGATACGCCGTAACTCTGATCCCTTCTGGCGACCATAATCCTTAGCGTTAAAACAATAGAATGTTTTGATGTAACGTCATAATGAACTAGGCCAATTCGATATTACAAATTACTACAAATTGCGAGTTCCTTCCTCTCTCTTGATATGTCGAGGACATACAAATAGCCTTAGTTACGGTTGCTCGGTATTTACTCACGTATGCGCAACAAAAGACCGACCTACATGTCTATTTTATTACCGTAGAATTCCATAGGAACCCATCTCAAACTATCAAAATTACCTGGAGACGCATTTGTTGTTGTTTTTTGTGGCTGAAAGTTGTCAATCATTGCACCGAATTAGAATAATAAAGGGAACATTCAAGTTTAAAGGGTTCCCATTGGAATTCATGTCTGTAACAAATCGAGTCATTATTCAAAGTGCAGATAACCAATACTAGTTAATCAACACAGTTTCATACTTACAGTACTTCTAAGCTGTCCAGGCCTGCAAACACTTGGTACTTTAACACCGTTATCTTATTAAAGGCTAACGATCTGTAAAACAATCATAGACTATTCAATAGTCATATCAGCAAACAAGCTGGACAGGAAGCGCCCACCAAAATAATCTTATCGATTCATTAAGGTCTAGAAAGACACATGCCTGAAAAAAAGACTCCATTTACTGGGGGAACAAGACCCGCTGTTGGACCGAATGAGAGCGCGTAATAAAGAACGAATCAATGATTTGAATGAAATGTAATCGATCCATGTCTACATGGGTTGGATCATATATGCGCTACGAGTATGTTAACTGTACAGCGTTTACTGACATKGTTAATATTGTACTGTGACGGTTTCCACGTGAACATCGGTCTAACAAACCTAAGCTGCGGGTTGGTGGTAAGTTTTTGCTGGTTTTTGCTGGGTCCCATGTAACGCGAAAGTAAACGGCCCAAAATGTCACAGTAGCTTACACCAGCGCGAAAACGAAGAGCGCAAAATAAGTCGACCATACATAGTTTGGACTTACAAGGCTGATAGTCCACGTAGACCAGTGAAAGACAATGCAGGTATTGACTGGATGCAGTTGTTTGATAAATCCCTGAAATAATAAATACATTTTGGTAGAAAGAATTGTAGTAGTTTGCACTCAAATGATTTCTAAATGGCACTCGCACATGAATGCTGACAAGAAGCACTCAATATTTCAAAATCATAGTTTGATATCCATGTTCCAAGGTAAAAAAAAACATGTTTAAACTTATATACTTACAATCCTTTTATGTCCATCTTTCCAACCAACAGTTTTGGTAATATGGAAATATTCTGTAACCGACAAATTGCGGTGACATTTGTTTTTACTCGGCAGAATGTTTTCCTTCCGTCAAAAATGCAACTATCGTGTATCGTGTAAGAAAAACCATCTCCTTCTACAATCGAAAAACTTAAGAACGTTGTTAAAATGCTCACAGCTAACGCCTGACTCGACATCTTGCTGGTAGGAGAGTGACTTCACGATGAAATAGAACACCTGTCTTGGTGAATTTGACGGAACTGAATTTTGAACGTGTCGTAGAATACTGAGCTCCTTCAAAAATAGCTTTCACTGTCCTTTGTTATAAAATGCTGCTTATTGTTAACTGTGGAAGCAACACTTCATAGTATCCGGTCCTGTATTATCAATATACAAGTTTGAAAGATCTGACGATATTTCTTCACCTTTACTGGTTTCTATTTTTCGTTCAGTACCTTTTTCAAGCTTTTTTTCATTTTTTTCAAATGAGAGCATAATTTATTTTTAGCAACTGTAATATGCTTTCCACGCCCTTAGAACAGGTGAGAAAATAAATGACAACACTGCATGTTTATATAAAGCTTTTCTTTAGTTTGACAGAAAAGGAAACTTGGGAAATACAGGAAAGTCACTTATGGTCTAACATCTTGGTGTAAGATTACGTATTATATAAAAGCACAGGTCTTTATTACAGCATTTATGACGCCTGGTACATTTTTGACTGCATTTTAGTTGATTTCTACATAAAGTAAATAATTGAATCGCAAAAATATTCTAACATTTCACATTCATGAATATTGACTTTTTGAGTTGAGAATGTTAACTCTTAAAATATGACGWCATGGCCTCATTTGATATGACGAGTTTTGAAGAAAACACTTCAAATGGCTTCACGACATTAAAATCGTGAGTGGTAACTACCTACATTACCAAATACCAATCATAAAACCATTTTGAATGTTCGTATGAACCGCCATTGTCGTTAGGATTTTGTTTCACGGTTTTAGAATTTAGGGTTAGGGTTTAGAATGAAATGCCAAGACATTTCATGACTTATAGCAAAAAAAAAGCAGTCTATCATGATCAACAAAGATAGAAAATGCCATTGCATAATTCATACTCGTGAAGGAGTAACCAATATGGTTCGTTTTCCTAAAATAAATGAAAATCTCGAATACCTCGACGATAGTTTGTGTAAAAATCAAAATAATGCCTCGAAATAATTGTTTTAAAAACAAAATCTACAGAAAATCAAGATGACTATAACAACTATATTATATTTAAAAAGAAGAAAAAAAGAGCTCGAGACGAGATTTGAATCCGCGATCCTCTGTTCGACTCCGCCCGGCTGTTCGAGTATCTTGTTTCTAAAATTTATCAAACGCGCCTCGTAAATATTTATAATACTCCAGTTTCGAATTCATAGCACAAAACCGCTGCTTTATTTGACAAAGACCTGACCAAACACAAAAGAGAGCACGAGAAAATGTCGTTATTACAATAGACTTCAAAATTTGCATTTTCCCCGAGTTGAGACTAACCCTGTATTCCCATGAGACCTAAGGAGAAGGCTCATGCCTTGTCATATATATGTATAATGCGTCAAACGGTTTTAAAAACTTAGTTTAAAATTATGCACTAGTCAATTGAAACGCCCGCTCCCCGGGAAATACCGGGGAATTTAGCATTTGAGTCGGGGACACATTCACTGTTAAAATCCCCGCTCTTTGCCCCCCTCCAAAACAACTCATCAAAATCCCGACCCCCCTGGACAATCTTGCTGTTAAAAGCACGTTGAAAACGCGTCACGTCCCCGTTCAGTGCCCCGCTAGCCCCGGGTAAAATTGTCTAGTGCATTATAGTTCTTAATAACCCCTTTAGGGTTAGGGTTATTTATTTTACAGGGGTTTTTTAATTTAAATTATTCTATGCCATTTTGTTGTATTGCAATTTCTCTTCTGAAACATTTTCTGAGTTTTTTGATGACTTCTTGTCTAATTTCCGCATTTCTCCAACCACAGATCACCGGGTTTACTGATGACTTTGTGAATGCGATGGTCTCAACCCAGCTGAACACGTTAAGCGAAGAGAACTCCACCCCGGCAAACTGGCACATTTGAACAACCAAAACGGGTAAATTAAACATCAAATAAAATCCAACAATATATGCCATGTTTTTTGCAAGTTTTGTTTGAATGGCAGCAAAGCTGACTTGCGATGGGTTCAAGGTTTGCTCGGTTATTTGTCGTTGATGGTGACGAATAATTCCAAAAATCTTAAACTGGACAATTACTGTCAGGAAAACACAGAGAAGGAATATCGATATCTGCATATGCCGTACAAACGATCCGTGATCCACCCACTGTAGACTTGTTAATATCACATCAAATATCCAAATAATTGCCACTAAATGAAGAACACCTTGTGTTGTCACAAGTTCTCTGTAACGGAGATGAAGTCGAAGAGCGAGATATCTCTCACAACTTAACGCGCTTAAAGTCATAAATGATACTCCATAGCAAATCCAGAAACTCTCCGAGTAAACGACTCGAAAGGGACAAGGAACGTACAGCCTGGTGTTTTCCAGAATCCTGAAACAGCTGTATAATGGCTGAACTATAAGACCAACCAGAAAATCCGACACAGCTAAACACGCCAAAAGCACGTTGGATGGTGAGGCAAATGAAGGATTTCTGGTTATCACTGATACAATAAGAAAGTTTGAGCAAAGCGCGAAAGGAATCATAGCAAAGTTTATCAATGCTGTTGTGACGTTTGTTGAATATCGCTCATCTTCAACTCGGTTAAACTGTGGTTCAGGAAGAAAAAAACACTTATCACCATCCCCTGGTGAAGACGGAGAAGTTGTGTAACTGGAATGGTTCATGAATGCTTCAATTTCATCTACAGTTCTTGTAGTCAAGTAGTCGGCGTTGTTTTCCAAGTTGTCTCGAGCAGCCTGGGTCAGCCAACAGTCTTATCGATTGATCTATTTGTAAACACAGCTTTACTTTTCACATTTTCTTGGACACACATGTACCTTGTATAAACAAACACTTAGCTCACCTAACTTGTTGTACAAACTCCCGGGGGGGGTACTCCCCTATATTCGCTATACGGGGACGTGCCGCCAGCTAGGGTATCGTTTTCAGCGATTTTACTCTGGAACTGGGTATCGATTTYRRCGAWTKTWCTCTGGAACAGGGTCAGGGTTGAATTCCGGAATTATTGATGCTGGATAAAAATTCATGGGGTAAAAATTCGGTCTACACGCAAGCTAGTGCAGGATTTTACTCTGGAACAGAGTATCGTTTTCATCGATTTTACTCTGGAACAGGGTATAGTTTTCAGCGATTTCACTCTGGAACAGGGTCAGGGTTTTGAKGTCCCAGCGGCACACCCCCACCCAAGTTTCGGGGGAGTACCCCCCCTGGGTACAAACTTTGCCGATTTATTATTTATTGCTTTTTATTCTCAATTTAAAGTTCTAGCGTTGAACATGAAAATGCTGAAATCGAATGATCACAGGCATCGACAACCACAACACGATGACCTCAAAATATCTCAAACCTCGTAACAAAGAAGATAAACAGGTTCGATTAACATCTGATGACATTCGTTGTCAAACGTTGGGTTTCTCTATCAATGTAAAGTGATTGAATAAAATTATTTCCATCGTTCCCATTTCTTTATCCTTTTCTTTATTTCTTCATTACTCTCAACCATTCATTACTCCCAACCATTCAAACTTAATCCCAAGGGTAAAGGTAAAACGATATTTAAATGTCTGCTGTTTCGTGTCAAAGGAACGGTTAACTCTAATGCTATCACTATCAATTAGAGCTGAATGATAATAACCTAAAACTAGTAAAATCATACGATCTATAATTGTGCGTGTTCAAAGGTAATGATTTTTATATTGGTACAGTTAACTCGGAGATGATTATGACAGATATCAGCCGTTTATTAATGTTACTTCCTCTCAAAATGGCAGATCACACGACAGGAGAAAATGGATGTGCCACCAGTTGCTTGGTAACCTGTATTTCATAGAAGACAATCCTTCGTTAAAAATCCGAGTCAGTGTAAAGAGAGAGACAGAGAAAAAACAAGAACGAAGAAACATTTTTGACACAAAAGAAGTCAAATATCGTGTGACAGTGAACGTCCCATAACCGATGAAGTTCGGCCAATCAGAGTACCCTTCAACGGTGTATATATATGTTATTTACCGGCTGGGAGGTCCGTATAGGAAAACAATGCCCGAGGTCTTGACATTACGGATCGAGCGCAGCGAGTTCCGTACACAAGAGATCGAGGACAGCATTTTCCTATACGGACCGGCCTATAGCCGGTAAATAACATTTTTATTGTTTTATTTGTATTTTCTGCAACTTTGCTCGCAACCTAGCTGCAGGATACCGTGGACCGGGCAGATCGTGAAAAACCGGACCTCGCGCTAACCAATCACAGCGCGCGAAGATACCGGACCGAAAAAAAATAAATTTCTCTATTTTACTGGAAAAATTTGCGCACTTAAAAGGTTGTAAATTTGATGTAAATATGCTTTAAGTGTTCAAAATGAAATTTACATCATTTTGGACACTTACATCATATTTACATCAAATTTACAACCCGGCTTTAAAGTGCGTGATTTTTTCCAGTGTTTTTACATTTCCCATAATGCTTTCTGTTCTTTAGCTTAACCACCGTGCTTTATTCACGGGTAAGCGTCGATTAGAAAATTAATTTGCAAAATTTACGTTGATTATTTAATGTAAATATTCTATAGTTTGTGCGTATTTATAAAAAGTAATTTTCCATTGTTGCCCATGATCTTTTTACAAGTAACAAGATTGTCCATTTGTTATACCTACTGTTCATTTAGTAGGGTTTAGTGAGCTACGTTTTATGGTTTCCCTGTGTAAAATATACATTGAGCCTGAGTACCACTAATATCACGTGACCGTCAAGTGTCAAAACCCGACACCTTGAAGACCACGACATAGTAGCGAAAATTCCTTCACAGCCTCCTTAAATCTTCTCCTGTGCCGACATCTATGAACAGCAGATGGAACTGGTTTTAAAATATAACCAAACAAGCTAATAAAGTACGAGTAAAATACCTTAGAACTGAGCTTGTGAACTGCTGTTTTTGTTCAGGAGTAATAAATGCTGAGGGAAAGCCTTGAATCTGTAGAGCATTCTGCAGAAAGAGATACAGTACAATATTTGACAGCAGATCAGCAAAATGGCACTTGATGTAGATAGTATGCCCAGAGGAAAGAATGCCGGACACAGAACAAAAGAAATTACGACTTAATAATACAGAAAAAATAAATGAAGGGATGAGAAAAAAAATAAAGGGACAAAGGTGCTAAATGAATGAATAGGTGTGAAGACAGACAGGCAAAATGTACCTGTAGCCACTTTGATAACTGCTCGATACATCTTTTATTGAGACTAAACAATATCTCTGACAGGTAGTCGTTAATGCATGCGAACCGAGACACTCCTCCGCCAATTGCCTGGCAACAAAAAATACAAATATTAGCTCTTAAAAACCGCCTTTAGAGGTGAAGTAAACAAATAGGCTGGTTTATAAAAGTTGAGAAGCCTTTTAGGCATTGAAGAATTTCTAGCAAAAAGTTATTAGCTGCTCATTTGCTTTTCATTTTTTGTCTATTTTAACAGACATGCACATTGAAAAACTTCTTGATTAACAAGTTTATTCAATAACTGGCTGCATTAGTACTTACTGGTGCTCTCTGGAGAGCACTAGATCTGTGGGGCTACATTCTCTCAATGATGATGTTTGATAACACTTATTAGGAATGATATATTAAAATTTAGATTTAAATAATTTAGTAATACCAACCATTAAGACTTGTTGGACTAAATGTTGTCCATAAGCATCGAGTATCTGTCTTGTTTTATTGTGAGTTTCATATGTTCCTATAAAAGTAACCTAAAACAGACACAAAAAGATTGCAGTCTTGAGTACGCTGATACTATTTCCTTTCTTTTATCTCATGCTGCATTTTATTATCTTCCTTCTTGTTATAGTTATTTATCTCTTTTTTGTTTGATTGTGCCCATCTTGTGCCAGTTTTTTTCCTTTTCTATTTTTCTTCCTTTTTTACAATAGTTAAACTAATTTAAAACTAATTTTTTTAATCTTTCCTTTCTTCCCTTTTTTATTTATTCATTCCTCCCTTAAATATTCACTTTCATTCCATTTCTTTTTCTTATTTTGCTCTTTTATTCATTCCTAATTCCAACGTACCATCAAGTAGCAGGCTTTCTGTATAGTGTGAGTTTCATTGACGTTAAGAGCTGCCAATCCTGAAATGTACAAAGCAATGAGATCAGTGTTTAATAGATTAAATCACAACCTTTACCCACTACTATATTAAGGTAGAAATTCCTGAAATTGTCCCGATTGAAATTGTTTTGTTTCGCATTGTTAACATGCCGATAACAACACTTGAAAGTCTTCCTTACCACATTGATAGACGTGTTCAGCCATTCCTTCACAGTCAAATACCAACTCTGTGTTTGTTTTCAGGGCCTAAAATCAATGTGCATCTTTGTTATTTCGCATCTGTTACTGTACAAAAATGTGCAGTAAATCACATTATACACTATATGTGTGCAAACCCGATAAAAGTTTTATTGAAAAAAATGAGACTCTTTATATTCAACGATGTCTAAGAACAGTTGTTATTCTAGAAGTAGAGTTAGTGAGACTGTACTAACCCTTTGAACAAGCGCCATGTACGACTGAAGGATATCTGGATGTTCTTGTAAATCTAAACGAAAAAGGAAATCTATAGATTGATCTTGTTTGGTGGACACTAAAAAACAACGCTTGACAAACAACTGAACCTTAAACCACCCCACATGGAAGAACATGAGATTTTCACTATAGAATTTCATTATAGTAAACTTTCATTTGCTCTACTCAACCCCGGCGAGAGGAGGCGAGGGTCCTCGTATCCCATTTAGGATTTCAAATCAGTGTTTTGGTCCCGCCTAGGATGCTAATGACGAGAATTCCCATCAATTGAGTTTTCAGGTCCTTTGTAGTGTATAAGACGGCCCTAGCCGGCGGTATATTTAATATACAGCCTACTAGGGCCGTCTTATACACTACAAAGGACCTTAGAATAATAATCTCCTACTATTAGAAGACTTTATAAAATAACATTAAAATCGAGACTATACCAAAATTATTGATTTGTCCCTCTAAGGGGTGACGTCACTACCATGCTCATCATCTCACGATGCAGGTTCCTTTTAGGGGGTCGTTTTCAGTTCAATTACCGACTCGCGACCCTTTTTAAAAGAGAGTCCAACCCCCTCCCCTCGCCCGTTATGAATACGCTGAGCATAGTGTTCGTTATGTGATACATTAATGTTCTTACTCGATTGTGAGTTCTGTAAGACCATAGTTGACAATCTTTGAAATGTCAGTGCGACTGTTTGTATGTGATCCTTTTCTCCGCCATACATGCCAACAAACTACAAGACAAACGTATCTATTTCATCATACACGCAAATTATCTATGATCCCAATATATTAACCTACCATTGCTGCGGTGTCAAGAATACAACTCTGTGGTACTAGTGTAAAATAGTCTAATATCAGCTGAGCTAGTTCTGGGACAAGTGATCCCATATGATCTCTTATCGTATCTACTGCTCTCTCGAGGCAAAGACAGAGATCCTAGCAAAGAAATAAGAACAATGAGCGCATCACCATCACTCATACAGAACAGTTAAAGAATGGGAAATACAAAGGAAACAATACTTAACAAAATCTAAACAGAGATTGAATAAGATCTTATACAGCTATTCACAGACATGAAATGAACTCTATTGTCTACCATATGAAAGAAAGCAAAGAATAGAAATAAATAGGAAAAAGGGGATTAGAAAATCAGAGATGAAATGAGATGTGGAAAAATGAATGAGAAAAGGAAAATAATGACAAAAAATGAAGTGAGAAAAGCATATTAAACAAATATAATTGAAAAATAATGAAAGCAACAAAAATGTAAAAACGATAGAAGAAAACAGCTTATAAAAACATTAAAGAGAAGAATACAATAGACTAACTTGTGTGATTTCATTATCCCTTATCCATAACCTAAGCTGCTTGAGGGATGGCATAATTTCTTTTAATACAACAGCTGCCTGTCATAAACAATATGCTTGAATTAGTAACATGGGGTGGGGTGTTTTGTTATTTTGTTTCTTGGTTAGATGGGAGGATGAGTCAAAAGTCTTATTGGTTTTTAGTTGTTTGRTCAGTGTTTGGTGTTTATTTTGTGTGCATTTYACTGCTGTGTGTGGATTAAGAACTAAACAAGACAGTTTATTTCAAGTCAATCAGTTAACCAGACAATTKTAGGAATGATTGAATATTAGTTAGGCAAGKGGCTAAACAATSAATCATTCAGTGGGGCTGGTTAGCTGTTTGGGTATCAGTCATTCGTACCTTATATTCCATATTTGTTTTTCAATATGTAAATGGTRAGTTCTTACAGTACTTACAGGGTGATTCTGATTTGTCACTGTGCTTGGATCTAAGCACTTGAAAAGAACTGCAAACATCTTGAGATAAAACTGTAATCTTGGCTTGAGATTTTTACATGGCTAAGAAAAACAAATTCAGTCCAACAATTATGATTATCATCATTGCAGCACCTTTCAATATTATCAACTCAATGGTTTTCATATCATGATTCTTGTAGCCAAATCCTTGGTCCAAATATTCCCATGCACAATCAGTATTCAAAGCAATCAAACAGGTTATAGTATGGTTTGTTGTCAATCAAACACAACAATTTTGTCTGGGCYAAGAAAGCTTAGTCTGCATATCAATATTGAAAAGCACTGTCCTTATATCATCACCAACCTTACACATCATTGTTATCACCACAAAACCTTAAAGAGGAKCAAGGATGACTGACCAGTAAAACTGCTSGTCTATCAGCCTGGTCCCAGTTCAATACCCCCCTTTAGAATTATTTAAGCCTGTTTCCCTTCCTACATACATGTCTGCTTAACCTACCTCTGTCAAAAACTATAGTATTCAACATTAATGCAATGAATTAGTGTCCCTAGTTGGATACAAGGTTGGATACAAGATAAAAGGTTACTTATTTATATGATATTATTCAATGATTTTGTCATACCTGTTCTGTAACAATCTGAGCCAGTAGTTGTATATATGGCCCAATGGCTGTCTGTAGTTTGTCCATGAYAACAGACTGTGGTTGTACAGATAGTATGTATCCTATACATTCCATACATCGGATTCTTTCTCTTTCCTAAAACAAAATTAACATCAGTTATTAAATTCATTAATTATTCATTGCTGTTACTGAATCTTTATATCAACAAATACTAAAAGATTTGTCATGTTTTGCACACAACTCTAGCTTTGATCTTTAAAATAACATTTTTATCCATATTTATTATTATAATAATATTAGCTTACGTTGAAATGTGATAAGCAATATAAGATATTCGTCTCCAACCTTTATGGGCTTTAAAACTGTTGCTTGCAGCTCACAGTTTTAAATGCCAATAAAGGTTGGACACAAATATTTTAAATAATCATTACTTATTTTAGCAATGAGGATTTTCTAATATAGAGATGTACCTTGATAATGGATCCTGCAAGTGCTGCCTGTAAAGGATACAATGAATGATATTAATACAGAATTCAAGCTCACAACACTGGAATTGCCATTAATAACATCAGAGGTCCCTTATACCTGACAATGAGAGAGCACTTCTTGTAAAATGTCCTGGTCTAAATCATGCACACACTCTTCACATATTCCCCTAAGAGCCTGAGTTGATGAGGAAGCCAGGTTTTCTTTTGTTAATCCACTCAGTAATACTGGCAAGACTGACCGTAGTTGCTCAGTGTGACAGTTCAGCCATTCTGAATAAGAGCCTAGTAAACAAACATCCATCACAATAATGTCAGTACAAGCAATTGATAACAATGATACTTAGATAGTAGTTGTTTGCAAATGTTGATAGCATGATTTATAAATAATGTCGATAGCATGCATAATTTATAAATTGTCTGCAGCAGAGCCATAGCTATCATATTTTATCAGATGGTGAAAGCTATCAAACAAATTAAAATTAATCAATAAGTGCAACTCACCAACCATGATGAGTGCAGTCTGAGAGACTTTGGGATGTAATGGAAGGTTTGGTAGCAGAGAAAGAATTGCTGGTAAAAATACATCTTCTTCTGGTTCAACATTCTCTGAGATGGCTTGTACCAAATGCAGTGTTGCCTCTACTGACTGCCATGATGGTGCTGTACTACTGGATAGTAAAACTGAAAGTGTTGCATGCAGTTGTTGTAGTAAAAGAGGACCAGTGACACAGTATATGTACATCTGAATGCAAAATACATTTATAAAAACTTTATTTGTATCTACTACTTCTGATGATCACACAAGTTGCGTGAAACTTTCAAGTAGCTCAAAATCCTTGTAAAGACATATATATAATCTACTTCTTCTACAATGATTTCAATKCCTATTGGTGCATTTTGGTTGGTTTCAGCCAAATCTACCATAATACTTTTTATTTTATTCACAGTTTATCTATTTATGGAATAAAAAACAGTTTTCCGTTTTCCGTCAGTTCTCCGCTTCGCCTCATGGTTTCCTACGCTTCTCTCGTGTTCTCCCCACATCCCGCGTGTTTTTATCAGAGTATAATACACGGAAAACTGTTTTTTATTGCTTTTATAAACACAACTTAATTGAGCATTATGACAACTTCATAAGAGTGATGACACAAATATTTCAAATTAAATTATGCTTACCATTGTATCTGATACATCTTGTCTGTAGTATAAAAATTGTTCTTTTTCCTCTRTAAAAATATAACCAAAGACAAGTGTCACATTTCATGAAAATGAAGGACCTAAAGTACAAGAATACRTCTTACCTGAGCTATACCCAGTCCACTCACTGTCAGGTGGGTACTGAACTTTTTTC